TCTTGTCCAGCTCATAGGAACAAAGAATCTAAATGTAAATGGGATGCTTTAAAACTACTACTGCTGCTGCTGCTGCTAAGTCGATTCACTCGTGTCCAACTCTTTGTGACCCCACGGACTATAGCCCACCAGGCTCCTCTATCCACGGGATTCTCCAGGCAAGAATACTGGAGTGGGTTGCCATGCCCTCCTCCAGGGGATCTTCCTGACTCAGGGATTGAACCCATGTCTCCTGTAGTTCCTGCATTGCCAGCAGATCCTTTACCACTGAGCCCCTAGGGAAGCCACTAAGTAAAACCACTAATGCTATACAAATATAAGGGATGATGATAATAATTATGATTATAAAGGTTCCAGTTCTTGCTACTAAACATTCCATAATTCTGAAAAAAAGATAGCTCTCATCAATTTAACTATGGTTATTTTTGGCGAAAACCCAGTGACTGTGTAACTGTTCAGAAGATAGATACTGCTGGGTAGCGGCATTGCACCAAATTCACCCACAGCCCCATCCTTTGCCCGCAGAGAGGGCTCAGCTGCTAGACAAGGCTGGAAACAGATTATAGCCCTTCGACAGAGCTCAGCCCACTGGCCTGCTCAGAGGCTGAGTGCCTGACCTTGGCCTCATGAACACTGTGTTCTGCCCCCAGAGCCGTCTTTCCCAGGCTGTGTTCTCCAGAGAGAATGAAAAATATGTGGCTGCCAAGGTCAGGTAAAAGCAGAAGAGGAGGCTGTCACTGCTGTTCCTGCACATTTGGATGGGTCTAGGGGCCAAGAGAAAGACAGGTACTTTTCAACTTCGAAGGTCCAATTGGATCCTGGTCTGATTCCTTTTGAACCCATTTGAAAGAATCAGAAGGTGGTTCTAGAAAGGAGAAAGAATCCCAAGCCTGCATGAAGTCCACTGATAGTAGGATGGTGTTGACCATTCAGTCTAGCTATTCCTATCAGGAAAGGAAAGACTCAAGATGCCAAGCAGCCTGATTCCCTTAGGCAGCCCCTCCAGGAGGAGTGGGGTGATATGAGTAGACTGGCAAGATCCTATTGGCCACCTTGGCCTGCCTCCAAGTTTGGGGTCCAGTACCCTGACCCCGCTCATTAGACCTCACAACTGAAGTGACTATGGACCTACCAACCCTCCCAGAGAAAATGGCCATTTCAGACAGCACTTCCCAGAACTGAGGGAGTTAAGGCATTGGGTAGGTTGAGAAGGCTCTGGTGTTCTCTATCTTTTTAAAATTTTTTACTTGGAGGATAATTGCTTTGCAATGTTGTGTTGGTTTCTGCCATAAGCAACATGAAGCAGCCACAAGTACACTTGTACACCTTCCCTCTTTGTGCCTCCCTCCCACCCCGACCCCCATCCTCCTCCTCTAGGTCATCAAAGTACTGGGCGGAGCTCCCAGTATTATGCAGCAGCTTCCCATCACTTATCTGTTCTACACATCAGTTCAGTTCAGTTCAGCCGCTCAGCCGCGTCTGACTCTTTGCAACCCCATGAACTGCCGCACGCCAGGCCTCCTGGTCCATCACCAACTCTCGGAGTCCACCCAAACCCATGTACATTGAGTTGGTGACGTCATCCAACCACCTCATCCTTTGTCGTCCCCTTCTGCTCCTGCCCTCAATCTTTGTCAGCATCAGGGTCTTTTTAAATGTGTCAACTCTTCGCATCCGGTGGCCAAAGTATTGGAGTTTCAGCTTCAACATCAGTCCTTCCAATGAACACCCAGGACTGATCTTTAGAATGAACTGGTTGGATCTCCTTGCAGTCCAAGGGACTCTCAAGAGTCTTCTCCAACACCACAGTTCAAAAGCATCAATTCTTCTGCACTCAACTTTCTTTATAGTCCAACTCTCACATCCACACATGACTACTGGAAAAACCATAGCCTTGACTAGACATTTGTTGACAAAGTAATATCTCTGCTTTTTAATATGCTGTCTAGGTTGGCCATAACTTTCCTTCCAACGAGCAAGCATCTTTTAATTTCAAGGCTGCAATCACCATTTGCAGTGATTTTGGAGCCCCCAAAAATAAAGTCAGCCACTCTTTCCAATGTTTCCCCATCTACTTGCCATGAAGTGATGGCACCGGATGCCATGATCTTAGTTGTCTGAATGTTGAGCTTTAAGCCAACTTTTTCACTCTCCTCTTTCACTTTCATCAAGGGACTCTTTAGTTCTTCTCTGCATTCTGCCATAAGGGTGGTGTCATCTGCATATCTGAGGTTATTTATATTTCTCCTGGCAATCTTGATTCCAGCTTGTGCTTCTTCCAGCCCAGCGTTTCTCATGATGTACTCTGCATATAAGTTAAATAAGCAGGGTGACAATATACAGCCTTGATGTACTCCTTTCCTTATTTGGAACCATCTGTTTCATGTCCAGTTCTAACTGTTGCTTCCTGACCTGCATACAGGTTTCTCAAGAGGCAGGTCAGGTGGTCTGGTATTCCCATCTCATAAAGAATTTTCCACAGTTTATTGTGATCCACACAGTCAAAGGCTTTGGCATAGTCAATAAAGCAGAAGTATACGTTTTTCTGGAACTCTCTTGCTTTTGCGATGATCAAACGGATGTTGGCAATTTGATCTCTGGTTCCTCTGCCTTTTACAAAACCAACTTGAACATCTGGAAGTTCACGGTTCATGTATTGCTGAAGCCTGGCTTGGAGAATTTTGAGCATTACTTTACTACTGTGTGAGATGAGTGCAATTGTGCAGTAGTTTGAGGATTCTTTGGCATTGTCTTTCTTTGGGATTGGAATGAAAACTGACCTTTTCCAGTCCTGTGGCTGCTGCTGCTGAGTTTTCCAAATTTGCTAACATATTGAGTGCAGCACTTTCACAGCATGATCTTTTAGGATTTGAAATAGCTCAACTGGAATTCCATCACCTCCACTAGCTTTGTTCCTAGTGATGCTTCCTAAGGCCCACTTGACTTCACATTCCAGGATGTCTGGCTCTGGGTGAGTGACCACACTATCATGATTATCTGGGTCATGAAGATCTTTTTTTGTACAGTTCTTCTGTGTATTCTTGCCAACTCTTCTTAATATCTTCTGCTTCTGTACAGTCCATATAATTTCTGTCCTTTATTGAGTCCATCTTTGCAGGAAATGTTCCCTTAGTATCTCCTATTTTCTTGAAGAAATCTCTAGTTTTTCCCATTCTATTGTTTTCCTCTATTTCTTTGCACTGATCACTGAGGAAGGCTTTCTTATTTCTCCTTGCTATTCTTTAGAACTCTGCATTCAAATGGGAATATCTTTCCTTTTTTCCTTTGCTTTTCACGTTTCTTGTTTTCTCAGCTATTTGTAAGCCCTCTTCAGACAACCATTTTGCTTTTTTGCATTTCTTTTTCTTGGGAATGGTCTTGATCCCTGTCTCCTGTACAATGTCACGAACCTCCATCCATAGTTCATCAGGCACTCTGTCTATCAGATCTAGTCCCTTATATCTATTTCTCACTTCCACTGTATAATCATAAGGGATTTGATTTAGGTCATACTTGAATGGTCTAGTGGTGATGATGGTCATTCTGACAGGTATGAGGTGATACCTCATTGTAGGTTTGATTTGCATTTCTCTAATAATCAGTGATCTTGAGCATCTTTTCATGTGTTTGTTGACTATCTGTATGTGGTCTCTTTTGGGGAACATTTTTAGGAGTGTAATGAGTGTGCTTAAATCAGTCCTTGAAACCATAACGTTTCATCATCCTTGTCCCAGTTCTCCTGACAAAGCAACAGAGGGATATTTGCCCCCACTCTGTCATTGGTCATAACCTGAGTGCTTTGTGTTTTTTTTAACCATTTCAAAGTATTATAAAAGTTCAACTTTTATCCCCTCAGCAAACATGCAAAGTAGGCAGCAGACCTTTCCCGCTTCACAGAAGGAAAAAGTGAGATATGGTTGCGTGGGAGTGGGAAACAAAGAGTAATTCACTGTCCTGACTCCTGGTCCAGTGGCTCTTTTCCCCCCCTGAAGAGCCTTACTTACACCTTCTTACTTACATCTTCTATCTCAACTAATCACCCATCAGGAAACCTCAGCTTCTCCATGAGAAACCCCCAAAAGCCCACTTTTTCATGAGGAATAATAATATATTTACAATCATCTCGTTATTAAATTTATCTTACGTTAACATTCTAAAAATTAAATAGTTTTCTACTTGAAGTAGCAGCTCTTTGAGCTACTGCTTCAAGAATTCATTCAAGAATTGGATGCCAGTCAATAAACTTCTCATCAATCAGGCTGAATGATGATCATGCCTTTTCTGATAATTACGTGGTTTCTTATTTACATGTTGAAGCATTACAACAACAAATCAATGTCAACATTACTATTTATGACTTCAATCTCCCATCAGCTGTGAAAACCATAGCTCCAGCTGTGCATCTCTCTAGAACTCAGTCATACAAATGCGTCTCTGTCTATGGACATTACATAATGAGTCTCCTTTTCCTGGGGGTGAGCAGCCTGAATGGTTTCCAATGAGGAGTATTGTTTATTAGTAAACATTTTATGTCTTTTTTTTCTAAAATGGATTTGAAATGGATTACTGCCCCTCCTCTCGGACACACACAGAGACATGCACCAGAATAGTTTCTTTAAAAAAGGAAATTAATAACCATATACCCAGAAGAGAGATGACTCCACCTTAAAATATGAAGTAAGATGCTTATTGTACTCTTTACATTTTATTCAGCTCTAAGTTCCCTCGAAGTCAAGGGGAAAGTAGATATACATTGTTTAGTGGTACTTATATATGGAAAAAAGAAGGTGCTTACATTTATATTTCACTATTTCTTTTCATCACCAACAATTTGGCATGATTTGGGATGAGTGTTTTATGTATATTTTTTTCTTTCCAAAGAACAATGAGTTAAATATAACCAGGGTACGTGCTTTCTGAAAAGAAAAGGCTATGGTTAACTTTGATACACTTTGAGATTTGATCAAGAGAAAGATACAGAAATCTAGAACCTTCCTTACCTCCTCCAGTTTGTCCACTCGCCCCACCAGTTTGGAGGTAACTGAATGCAGCTTCAGGAGATCCAAGCCGTAGAAAGCTCCTTCCAGCATGTCTATAATGGTGGAGAGCTATGAAACAAGGGCAGGCATCAGTCCAAGGCTGGTGCAGATAGACCGAGAGGGAGACATTTCCATGTCGAGGCTGGACAGGGAAACCGCTAGCCAGGAATTGAGAGGCGACCCTCAGAAACTGGCACTTGTGTGGGTGGATAGGCAGATCCAATGGTGTGGGTGTATTCTGTCTACTGGAGTACATGGTTAAGAAAATAGGAGAATCCTACAAGTCAACTGAGGGCTGAATAGCTTCACCAAACTGTTTATGCTTCCTTTATTAAGTCTATCAGTTAAGGGCATGTCTGTCTTTCCTACTAGACTGTGAGCTCCTTGAAAGCAGTGCTATGTCATCTTCATCCTTGATTCCCCATGATACCTTGGCCCATAACAAGTGATATATAAACACTCAACAAAGTGGCTTATTAACATCCGTGCCTTGAGGATATGCTTCTGAAATACTTACATGCATTGTCTCTTGAAGTCCCTGGAAGACACCAGCAAGCTTTACCTTAGCACTAAAAGCAAAACTGCCCCTGGGAGGTAAAAGAGACCCAGTGGCCCACCATTGAGGTGCCAAGTTGTCATGGGGTACCCAGCTATCTCAATTTTTTGAACACTGTCCTTCCTGCCAGTACAGAGCCAGTGGGAGAAAGGTGGCTGAGATGCTGGTGACATCCAGGTCATGCAAAGTTCAGGCACAGGAAGCTAATGAGAGATGCTTAAAGTGAGCTTCCCTGCCAAGGACTCTCCCTGGAAGAGTCTGCTGGACATACTTGTGCACCACAGCCTTTCTACTAGATCAGAACTCTGTGTGAAATGCTCACATTTCAAAGATCTGCTTCCTCTCCATCCAAGGAAGATAGCTGAAGCCGGGTGAGAGCCATGGAAGGGCAGCCAATTAGTATGTACTGTGATGATTCTCTGATCCCTAAAATTTTGCCTGCTGTTGTTTCAGAACCCCCAAGAGTCCAATCCTATAACTGAGTGATTGCGCCTTTGGTTCAGAAATTGTTTCACAGCAGAGCTGCAGCTCTGAGTGATGTGGCTGAATTCTGGGACACTCATTTTACTGGTAAACCCTGCTGCTGCTACTGCTGCTGCTGCTAAGTCACTTCAGTCATGTCCGACTCTGTGCGACCGCATAGATGGCAGCCCACCAGGCTCCCGCGTCCCTGGGATTCTCCAGGCAAGAACACTGGAGTGGGTTGCCATTTCCTTCTCCAATGCATGAAAGTGAAAAGTGAAAGTGAAGTCGCTCAGTCGTGTCCAACTCTTAGCGACCCCATGGACTGCAGCCCACCAGGCTCCTCCGTCCGTGGGATTTTCCAGGCAAGAGTACTGGAGTGGGGTGAAACCCAACTCTGCTTAAAGGAATATCGGTGACAACCAGTTACCAAGTGTGCGCCAGCTTCTGGCATAGCAGTAGCACTTTACATGGTCATTCATTATTGGAATGTGTCTATTGAGCCCCAACTATACGTCAGTCATTGTGCCAAGAACTCAATAGTTGTCCTCTCATCTATTCTCAAAACCCTCAAAGGTAGATGTTATTTTTCCTATTTTTTAATTCAAGGAGACTGAGGTCAGGTCAGTTGAATAACTTGCATATCACCATGCAGCAAGCACTAGCAATGATCTGAACCCAAGTCTGACTCTAAATCAAGCTTATCCCATGAGCCCACGCTACAGATGAAGAGGGGAAGGTGGGGATCAGGTGAAGCCCTCAGCTGACCTCTGTGGCTGCCCCAAACAGGGCCTGAGTTTCCACAGCCCGAAGTCCAGGATTATAGGATCCCATTGTAAGGATAGTTGCTTTACAATGTTGTGTTAGTTTCTACCACACAGCAAAATGATCAGCCACACAGGTACATATTATTGCTGTTGTTCAGTTGCTAAGTCATGTCAGATGTTCATATATATTCTCCTTTTTGGATTTACTTTCCATTCAGGTCACCCATTCGTGTCTGACGCTTTGCGACCCCATGGACTGTAGCCCACCAGGCTCCTCTGTCCATGGAATTCTCCAGGCAAGAATACTGGAGTGGGTTGCCATGCCCTCCTCCAGGGGATCTTCCTGACCCAGGGACTGAACTTGGGTCTCCTGCATTGCAGGCAGGTTCTTTACCATCTAAGCCACTAGGGAAACCCTTCAGGTCACCACAGAGAATTAAGTAGGGTTCCCTGTGCTATAGAGTATGTTCTTATTAGCTATGTATTTTATATACAGTATCAATAGTATATATGCACCAATCCCAGTCTCCCAGTTCCTCCCACCTCCCTCTTTGCCCTTGGGATCCGCACACTTGTTCTCTAGGTCTGTGTCTCTGGAGGACCGCAGTTTGCTGACTGGACCTAGAGCAGGCCCCAGGCCTCTTCTTCCCCGGGGCACCCAGCCCTTGCACTGAGGACTGCTCACTGCTCTCTGTGTCTCTGGGGCGCCTGCTGTGCTGACAGTAAATCATTGCAGTAACTTTCCTGGAGAAGAACGCTGAGTTCTTTTGGCCAGCTGGGTCTGGCAGCTGCTCCCAGGTCCAGCCTCCTTGGCTCCAAAAGAGAGGGAGGCATACTTTGCTCTAGGCATCACCCTTAGACGTTAGAGTTGCAAATGACCAGTCTGTCAGTTCATCAGCTCCGGATCCACACGCAACACTCTCCGGCCCGGAGCCTGACCTCCTTTAAAGGCTAAAACAGGGCCCACTTACTCCAAGGCCTTGATCCCCAGCAAAAGCCTTGTCAGACTCATGGGTCCCTAAGGCACCCTCTCACCCAGGCCTCACCCTCCACCAGGTCCTACCTTCAAGTCCCGGCTGTCTGCCTCCCGAAGCTTCTGGAGCCTGAAGTCTCCCTCACAGGGATTGAGGGCGGACGGAGGTGCAACACAGGCACACTTGCAGGACGAGCCCGAGGTGATGGTTTCCACTGTGTAGAAGTCTTCCTTCCTGGAGGTCCCTGCGTTGACCCGCTGGCAGGCATCTCGGCCCAGGGGTCGCACCACACACTTGCACTGGCAGTCCGAGCCTTCAGACACAGCCTTGACTTTGTCATAGTCTCCCAGCAACTAGACAGAGAGAGAGACCAGGTTGGGGCTGTGCAAACGCCAGCATCAGTCAGGGTCCTGAAAAAGGCTCTACATTTACTTTGTCAGATGTCCTGCTAGCCAGAGATCTCCGATAACTCTGGTGTGGAGTTGAAGGGGTCATCGCAACACAATTTGCTGACCCTAGCGTTTCCTGGAAGGCACTCTGAATTCATCTCTCTTTACTTATTTTGGAAAGCAGTGCATTTCTCAGGGAGCCTTAGTCTTTTATCACTTAAAGGAAAAAGACAAATAAGCTCCATCATTCTTCCAATAGTACTTGCCTTAGCTAGAATCCAGATTTAGACTGAAAAGGGAAAGGAGAAGGGATTGACGGCGGGATTGGAAAACTGACATTCCAATTTCAAGACTACTGGCTTCTGTTCCCCTTCATTCATTCACCATTTATTGAGTGCCACCTTGGGACTGAGCTTGGTGCTATGAGAGGTAAAGCAATGAATGGGCCAGAGAGCCTGCTCTCAAGAGCTTACTGTGCAAGAGCAAGTTACAAACACACCAAGCACAGAGTGATAAGTACCCCGGATGTGGGAGTTCAGTGGGAGCTCAAACAGAAGGCCACAGAGTGTGGCTTCTAGAAGGAAGTGGTATCTGATCTGGCCTCAAAGGATGAGTTAGATTTGGAAAAAAGAAACTGGGAGGAGAGAGACAGATGCAGATGTCAGTAGGTTCACTCAGCCCAAGGGTTCATTTGGCTCCTAGAATAGCGTCTGCACCCAAACCCCAGGCCAAAGCCAGGAAAGCAAATTGGCAGCACTTGCTGCCTCCACAGCACTAAACATTTCCTTCTGAGTGCTTGCCCAGGCAGGAAAACACGCAATGGCAGGCTTGCTGGAACCACAATCCTAGGCACTTGTTGGGGACAAGGCTCCTCCCCAGCTCCTCTGCAAGACATCCTATATCCCCAAGGTCACGGCTCCCTCTGTGGGCACAGGGAACGGTTCCCTTCCCTTGACTAATGACCCTGGCAGGCAAGCTCTGAGCTTGTTGGAGTGGATATGTTCCTGGGATGCAGTTGGGGGAAAGAAGTCTTGTAATGTTTTTCTTGCAAAGGTTGGGTTTCTTCTAATACCAATATTTGTGTTAGGACTGTTGTCAAAGGCAGAATGGATCAGTGGAAGACAGAGTTGTAGTTCAAGATGACTTAAGTGGCCGGTCTTTATGGGCCGATGGAAAATCATAGCTGTCTGCTCTCTGAAACTCTGCTTAGATTCCTATATAGCCCTACTCAGAGACTCTGGGTGAATTCCTTCCTTTCAGGAGGCTCAAGTTTCAGGAAAGTTTTTGTTGATGATCTTCCAGAGCCCCAGTGTGATGGATTTTTAAGTCTTTTTGATTTAGGGGTTAGTGTGAGGTTATGGATGAGTATAGGGTATGTATTAGCATAATTTTTAAAGGAAGGGTGAGGTGACTAGTGTTTGATAAAGGTCAAAGTGGAGCTGATCATTCTTTCTACAGGAAGGAGTCAAGGACCCCAGTCCAAGGGCTTAGTAGAGGCACAGGCAGCACTCACTATAGGGATCCTTTTTCAGCCATGCCTCCTCCTTAGGATTAAGGTGACAGCCAACACACAATCATCAGGCTGGTCCTGGAAAGCACGAAATAAACAGTCTAGAGAGAACTGTTTTTTACTGTCATGAGATCAGGGCTGAAGATGGTCAGAGGACCTGGCTCTACCCATCTCTAGGGTCCTTTACTGTTTCAAGCCTCATGGTCCTTATCTATAGAACGGGAGTAAGCACGTGTGAGGATTGAGTCAAATCAAACAAGTGAAAGCTCTTTGCAAAAGGACATGTTACAGATCCTGTCCCTAGCGGCTGTCACTCCCCGCTCCGACACCATCTGCCAGAGCTGAGTGGAGCTGCATTTCCACTTCATCTCCCCAGTGTGAGGCGGGCACTTGTCCTCTTTTTGGGGCTCACCTCATGTTCATCACACTTGTTGCTGCTGTTTCCTCCCTGGGCGGCTCACTCAGTGTCATGAAATATCTCCCCGTGGGTTACACCATCTGCCTTCCGTCCAACATGCCCGCCTGTTTGCACATTCCAGTTCTGACAAACAGCCACACAGACAAGACACGGCCATACCTTCCACAACCCTTAAACCAAAAGGTTTTGACATTTTTTCTTTCTCCTCAGGGAGTTGTGAGGTGTCCCCCCTTCCTTCTCCTCTCCTTTTTCCTGATTCTGTAACCTTGAAAGACCCTATGACTTTGAGAGCAAGACCCATGTCTCTTCAGTTAAGAAAATGTTCTGATACATGAAAAGCAAAAGCCCTCCCCTTCGGTAATGGAGGGACCAACAGCTGCCTGCGAACGCTTCAGCGGGACCGTCTTAAGGCTCTGACCGCCACTGGGGCAAACGGAGTGTGCGGGGGGCTCGCCGCCTACCTGGGATAAGACGTTCTCCTGGTTGTCTGCTTCGTTCTGCAGAGTCTCGTCCTCTGTGGGCGCCACCGTCTGCGCGTCTGGGGGCTCGGTCGTCCCGGTGGGGGGAGTGCTGTACCCCCAGCCCAGAGTCGTAACCAGAGCGAAGCCGAGAACTAGCAGCAAAGGCTTGGCCATGAGGAAGGCGACCGGAGGGAGCTCGGCCCCTTGGAAGAATGGCTGGGGGCCGGTGCGGAGGGTGGGGGGGCGGGTATCTCAGCAAGGAGTGAGGCGAGAGGGTGTCTCGGCTGGAGCCCCAGAGGGACTGCTCTAGAGCTGGACGCGGCCGGGCAGGGCAGGAATGTGCGCCCCAGAGACCCTGGTCATCTCCTTCCCGACGCGATCGGCCGGTAGACTGGGGCGCAGGGCAGGAGGTGACAAGGAAGGTGGAGGTGGCAAGGCGAGCGCGTCGTCCTCCGGAGAGGGCTCAGGTGGAAGGAAGGGGTCCGGGCGGATGCGGGGGGGCGGTGCGCGCCGGGGCGGGCGGCGGGAAGCCTGGGGGCGCACCCGGGCCCTGTGGGAGTGCGGGGCCGGCAGCGGCGGCGGGGGCGAGGGCTGCTGGGCCAGGGCGCCGCGGAGCGCTGGCGCGGAGGGAGGGCGGAGCCTCTATTGTGCCGGGCCGCGGGGATGCAGCCAGTTACCGCGCGGAGGAGGAGGAGGACCGGGAAGCGCCCTGGGCTCGGGCGGCGGGGAGACCAGCCGACCCCGCCCCCGACTCGACCTCAGCTGCTGCTCACTCCCTCCAGGGGTGACGTCGGAAGGGCGCCTCTTTCATCTGACCGCAAATGGGACGGAAGTTACCCTGAGCCGGGCCCTTGAAGTTCGGGGATCCCTTGTGCCCATTCTCTCCGAGAGGAGCGAGTTTCCTCTGGTTGGCAGGTAGGCGCCGAGAACTCTCCCCAAGCGCGAGCCGGCCTAGATGGATCCTCGGCACCTCCTTCTATTGCACCTGGAGGACAGAAGGAACATTTGCTCTTGGATGTTTCTTTTCCCTGACGACTCTGGAAAGACACTTGGCAGCTTTGAACTTAGCGCCACTGGTCGTTTTCTTGCCTGCCACAGCTTTAGAACCTGGTAATACCTCCACCCAGAGGATAACTACTGAACTCCCTGCAGGAGTGTCCTCAGTTCAGTTCAGTCGCTCAGCCGTGTCCGACTCTTTGCGACCCTGTGAACCGCAGCACGCCAGGCCTCCCTGTCCATCACCAACTCCCGGAGGTTACCCAAACTCCTGTCCATTGAGTCGGTGATGCCATCCAGCCATCTCATCCTCTGTCGTGCCCTTCTCCTCCCGCCCTCAATCTTTCCCAGCATCAGGGTCTTTTCAAGTGAGTCAGCTCTTCTCATCAGGTGGCCAAAGTATTGAAGCTTCAGCTTCAACATCAGTCCTTCCAGTGAACACCCAGGACTGATCTCCTTTAGGATGGACTGGTTGGATCTCCTTGCAGTCCAAGGGACTCTCAAGAGTCTTCTCCAACACCACAGTTCAAAAGCATCAATTCTTCGGTGCTCAGCCTTCTTTATAGTCCAACTCTCACATCCATACATGAGTACTGGAAAAACCATAGCCAAGTTGTGTAATTATTAAAGACTAAGAGAATAGTTTTTTCGGTAAATCTCTGACAGTCTGTGGGTGGAGGCCAGGGTGAGGAGGGCTGGGGAGGGAGGAGCTACTATCAGAGATGCAGTTGATTGTCCAAGGGGACAACTCTTACTGTCTTCGTGGTTTAGGACAATTGTCAGGATCTCTGTCACTAGATGATCTCTTAGAAGATGTCCACCCTCAACAGTGTGCAACTGTGTTACAGTATGCCTTAATTAGGTTCCGTTTTGTAAACCAACTGTGAAGATTAACAGTGTCTGAATTAAAGGAAAGGCACTGCACCTTCTGAGACAACTGTGGAAATGAACAGAGCCAGACCCCTTAGAAGATGTAAAAAGTGTCACGCATCTTTGGGAAATTCAAACACCTTGCCTTTTATAGTAAGGGGAAAGGGTCCTCATAATCTAAATAATAAGCTATGAAATTTCAGCTCATATAAATAATGATAGTTGACAGAAGCACAGAGTTTTGCCAAGAGAATGCACTGGTCATAGCAAACATTGTCTTCTAAGAGCACAAGAGAAGACTCTACACATGGACATCACCAGATGGTCAGTACTGAAATCAGATTGATCATGTTCTTTGCTGCCAAAGATGGGGAAGATCAGCAAAAATAAGACCGGGAGCTGACTGTGGCTCAGATCATGAACTCCTTATTGCAAAATTCAGACATAAATTTAAAAAGTAGGGAAAACCACTAGACCATTCAGGTATGACCTAAATCAAATGCCTTATAATTATACAGTAGAACTGACAAATAGATTCAAGGGGATTAGATCTGATAAACAGAGTGCCTGAAGAACGATGGACAGAAGTTCATGACATTTAGTGGAGGCAGTGATCAAGACCATCCCCAAGAAAAAGAAATGCAAAAAGGCAAAATGGTGGTCTGAGGAGGCCTTACAAATAGCTGTGAAAAGAAGAGAAGCAAAAAGCAAAGGAGAAAAGGAAAGATATTCCCATTTGAATGCAGAGTTCCAAGGAATAGCAAGGAGATAAGAAAGCCTTCTTCAGTGATCAATGCAAAGAAATAGAGGAAAACGATAGACTGGGAAAGACTAGAGATCTTTTCAAGAAAATTAGAGATACCAAGGGAACATTTCATGCAAAGATGGGCACAATAAAGGACAGAAATCGTATGGACATAACAGAAGCAGAAGATATTAAGAAGAGGTAGCAAGAATACACAGAAGAATTATAGGAAAAAAAAAAAAGATCTTCATGACCCAGATAACCATGATGGTGTGATCACTCATCTAGAGCCAGACATCCTGAAATATGAAGTCAAGTGAGCCTTAGGAAGCATCACTACGGACAAAGCTAGTGGATGTGATTGATTTCCAGTTGAGCTATTTCAAATCCTAAAAGATAATGCTGTGAAGGTGCTGCACTCAATATGCCAGCAAATTTGGAAAACTCAGCAGGGACCACAGGACAGGAAAAGGTCAGTTTTCATTCCAGTCCCAAAGAAAGTCAATGCCAAAGAATGTTCAAACTACTGCATAATTGCACTCATTTCACATGCCAACAAAGTCATATTCAAAAATTTCCAAGCAAGACTTCAAGAGAAGACTTGAACTTCCAGATGTACATGAACCAAGAATTTCCAGATGTTCAAGCTGGATTTAGAAAAGGCAGAGGAATCAGAGATCAAATTGCCAATGTCCAAACATCCAATGAATCATAGAAAAAGCAAAAGATTTCCAGAAAAACATCTACTTCTGCTTCATTGACTACGCCAAAGCCTTTGACTGTGTGGATCACAACAAAGTGTGGAAAATTCTTAAAGAGATGGGAATACCAAACCACCTGACCTGCCTCCTGAGAAATCCGAATGCAGGTCAAGAAGCAACAGTTAAAACCACACCTAGAACAATGGACTGGTTCCAAATTGGGTAAGGAGTATGTCAAGGCTGTATGTTGTCACCCTGCTTATTTAACTTATATGCAGAGTACATCATGCGAAATGCTGGGCTGGATGAAGTATAAGCTGGAATCAAGATTGCTGGGAGAAATATCAATAACCTCAGACAGGCAGATGACACCACCCTTATGGCAGAAAGTGAAGAGGAACTAAAGAGCCTCTTGATGAAAGTGAAAGAAAAGAGTGAAAAAGCTGGCTTAAAACTCAAAATTCAAAAAAGGAAGGTCATGGCATCTGGTCCCATCAATCACTTCATGGCAAATAGACGGGGAAATAGTGGAAACAGTGGCATAGGCTCCCAAATCACTGCAGGTGGTGACTGCAGCTATGAAATTAAAAGGCACTTGCTCCTTGGAAGAAGAGCTATGACCAACCTAGATGGCATATTAAAAAGCAGAGACATCACTTTGCTGACAAAGATGTGTCTAGTCAAAACTATGGTTTTTCCTGTAGTCATGTATGGATGTGTGAGTTGAACCATAAAGAAAGCTGAACATTGAAGAACTGATGCTTTTGAACTGTGGTGTTGGAGAAGACTCTTGAGAGTCCCTTGGACTGCAAGGAAATCAAACCAGTCAATCCTAAAGGAAATAAGGTCTGATGCTGAAGCTGAAGCTCCTTGGCCATGTGATGTGAAGAACTGACTAGCTGGAAAAGCCCCTGATGCTGGGAAAGATTGAAAGGAGGAGAAGGGGACGACTGAGGATGAGATGGTTGGATGGCATCGTCGAGTCGATGCACATGAGTTGGAGCAGGCTCCAGGTGATGGCGGTGAACTGGGAAGCCTGGCGTGCTGCATCCATGGGGTTGCAAAGAGTTGGACACAACTGAGTGACTGAACTAAACTGAACTGAAAAAGTTTATAACTTTTAGGTTATAAACACTTCAGGATATTAATATAACTTAATAGTTTTTTAAAACCCAGTTTAAGGGCAAAAATTCAAGATTCTAGTTATCTGGACTTGTGGAAATATCTCACAGAGAATATTAAAGCTATCAAATCTTTTTTCAAAACTAGATGGAAGTAAACAACTATAAAATATAGTTTTAAAATTCAATTAAAATAAGTGTTGAATGTTGGCTAAGTATAGGACAATTTGCTAGATATTTAATTGGAACAAGAGATAGTCCACATTTTCCTGAAGAAGTGGACTAGGAGTAAGGAGGTAAGCAGAACAAGTATTCAAGTTGTCAGGCAGAGTAAGAGCATATCCCAAGGAGCTTAAAGAAGGATTAGGTCACTTCAAGTTGAAAGGTCAGGATTTCATGAAAAGGTGACAGGTAGATGGCTGGGAGGATGGGAAGGTCTCAGCAAGGCAGTAAGATGTAGGCAAGATGAGAGGAGCCATTCTGGGAAAAGCCATCAGCCTGAATGTGCATATTCAGATCTAAGACTGATGCTCACTTCTCAGGGAAGACTTCCTGACTCCATCTCCAGCATACTTCCTCTTATATGCTCCCACAGTACCACAGTATCCGGTTTCCCAGGTGGCGCAGTAGTAAAGAATCCAGCTGCAAGTGCAGGAGACACAGGAAACATGGGTTT